GCGGGCAGCATTTTGAAGATAGCTCTGTGGGGCCTTAAGGCTTGGAAGGTGGAGTGTGGGGTCGAGGTCTCTGCTTTGCCGAACTCCTTGCTGCTGTTTCATTTTCCATCTCGTCAGGTGGCAGAGAGGGCGTTGAAGCATGGCAAAAGGGAGTTGGGAGATTCGTATCTCATGCTTGACATTTGGGGTTGTCGTGTGGTATGCTCTAGTATTTTGAAGAAGTTGGGTATCCAGCAGATTTTGGTTTATGGCCTTCCATTGCATCTGTGGTGTGATTCCTTGGTTGAGATTCCTTGCTTGAAGCCATCGGTGAGAAGTGCAGGGCTTCAAAGGGGTTGAAATGGATGAGAAAATCGACCCTGACAAGTTTGTTATTGAGGTGGAAGAAGACGGCACACTACCGGAGCTTGTGATGGTGGAGGACGAATGGGTTTCCTACTAGATCTCTCTGTCAGAAATTTTACCTCCGACAATGGTGGTAACAATGACATGAGTGAATGAGAGGATTAAGGTACCGCTTCATGAGAATGTTTTGGGTAGGACAAAGAGCTTCACCAAAGTGGGGGATCTACTAGCGAAGGGCCATATCCATGAAGCTCTGAAAGTGTAAAAGACTGAAGGATAGGGACGAGTTGTTCCTCACGCACATGTGGTGCATGGGAGAAATAAAGACCAAGGACAACTACATGTCATCAGGTCTCAGAATGGTCAAAAGGAGAGGGTATAGTTGGTGGGGCACGTGTCGCGAAAAGGAGGGAGAAGGGTGGTAGGTCACGCGGCTCGCAAAAGGATTTTAAATCCTCTAAGCAGGGCAATAAATCTTCTGTTCTTGAATGTTCTGGGGGTCTTGGCCTAATTAATCAGGCGAAGAAATATAAGCCTAGTAGCTCATTTGGGCCTAATTTTGAAAGACAAAACTTGGGCCAAAAAATGGGTTTGAGTACCTTGTCAAGGATGAATATTCACAAGTAGTTTGGGCCACTCCAAAATTTAAGTAATGGTACAAGTGTTAATAAGGGTTTGGGTCGTATGGAGGGGGCAAGAAGGCTTGGGCTCACTCCACTGGGCTCTAGAAGGGCCAATAACAAACAACCCTTTCTTGGAAGCACAATGGATCATTTTTCTGATGTAGCTGAGCGAAGAACCCAGACCCATTCTCGCTCAAAGCCCCATCGCCGCAAGTGGACAAGAGTGCAGAAACAAAACTGACGCATTGTCGACGACTCTGCAACCACTTCCGACTGGTGCACTATGTTTCCGCACACTATTCCATCTTCTTCTGGTGGGGGTTCAGGTAGCTCGATAGAGGAAGAAGGTCGATGGGGCACGCTTAACAGAAGGGACGACTATTGTTGTCAATCCAAGATCGTAACAGGTCTATTGACCTTTCAGACAGTGGTGGTGTTGGCAATGAGGAGGTGACTCTGTGTGTCGGCCAAGATTTACGTATCAAACTTAAAGATGAATTTGCAGCAATTTTGGTTCAAGAGTTGAGATGGCATAGAACTATCGCTGAAGGTCTGCTGTGTAATGCTCCCGATAAACAAAATGACAGGTTGGTGGGGCTGATGAGTAGCTCAAAAGCTTTGCTGAGTTGTGACAAGTCCGAGCAGGGTGCTGGTCAGGGGAGATTGCAGTATGAACCGATGGCCACTGGATATCATGCCATGGGAGGAAGTGGAATTTCCTAATTTGGTCAAGGTTGACCCCCAGACTGTGGTGCGACCAGAAGGGATGAGAGTGGGCTCATGTGTGCAGGGCATTGATGATCAAGGAAAGGAGTGGGTCAAGGAGAACATCAAAATTACAAGTGATCTTTTGGGAGTTTCCTTAGAAGGGAATGATGAACAGGCTCTATTGATTCTTCATTCGATGTTTGAGGGGAGGGAAGAGGTTACGAAGAAGAAGATGAATGAAGTGGACAAGAGGAGGAAGAATTTCCCTTCTTGGAGAGGGGAGGAGGAGGTCAGGAATCTTATTTCATGTGTTATTCTAGGGGAAGGATAGGGCGGTGAGGGAAAGGGGTAATGAGGGGTAGAGGGATAAGTAAGGGTGAGGGGAACGTCATAGTTTCCTTATGAAGTTCCGAATGATTTCTTGGAATGTCCGTGGTCTCAATGATCCGAATAGGAGGAAGGTGGTGAAGTTGACAGTGACAAAGTGGGGTGCTCATGTGGTATGCTTGCAAGAGACGAAGTTCGCTTCAATTTCGGATAGGTTGGTTAGTAGTCTTTGGGGTGGGTATCCTTTCATGTGGGATAAAAGATGGGTGTTGAAGGTGGATGCATGGAGAGGGAGGTTTTCAATTTCCTGTGCATTTGTTATAGAGGAGGATAGATTCCGATGGGCGTTTTCAAGTATTTTTGGCCCGGTAGATGATGGGGAGAGACATTTGCTTTGGGAAGTCAGCTAAGTGAAGGGGTAATGGTCCCTTCCATGGTGTGTGGCTGGGGACTTCAATGTGGTTAGATCCCCGTTGGAGAGGATCTATAGGAGGGAGATGGGTCTATGTCCATGGAGCAATATTTGGAGTTCATTGATGGTCATCACCATTTTTGATTTGTCGTTGGAGGGAGCAGTGTTTACTTGGTCTAGTAGCAAGAGTGTCCTACTCTCGACTTTATAGATTTCAGCTTTCCACGGATTGGGAGGAGAAATTCCTGGATGTGGTTCAGGCAATGTTGGCTAGAGCGACTTCTGATCATATATCGTTGGTTCTGAACTGTGGTGGCTTGAGATCTCGGAGTACTCCTTTTAGATTTGAAAACATGTGGCTTAGGGCGAAGGACTTCCAAGGGCGATTTCGGTCTTAGAGAGAGGAGGCTACGGTGGTCAACACCTCGAGCTTTGTTTTGGCAAGGAAGCTCTGGTGTTTGTAGACTGAGATCAAAAGGTGGAACAAGGAGGTGTTTGCGAACCTTGAGTGGAGGAAGAATATGGCTCTTTCAGATATTAGAGAGATTGAACGGTTGGAGGGGATGGACGGTATTGAGGAGGCTCAAAGGCATGGGAGAGAGAAGTGTTAGACAGAGATTGCGGAGAATCCTGAGATTGCTATTTCGCAGGAGATCTCATGGCTTCCGAAATCTCGGGCCCTTATGGCCCAAGAAGGGTGACAGTAACACGAGATTCTTCCATAGGCTTGCCAACGCCCATAGGAGTCCCTATGTCGAGCTAATGGCAGGGGAGCGAGGACCAGGTTGAGTGCACCTTTTGAGATAGTAATCATAGCTGGAAAGCTTTCCCTGTGAGACGAGCGACGAGAGCAGAGGCGCCGTCAATGGTGTTGCCTTCTATATGTTGGCAATCATCGTTGGAGAGATTGCCTTGTGAGACAGGAGTGGAAAGAGAAGAGGCATCGTCAATGGAGTAGCCTTCTATGTGATGGGGCACATAGCGTGTAAGAATGCCCTGCAAGCGACAACGGCGTCGCATGAATTGGGTGTGGGAGAATGTCACACCCTGCCAATTTGCAGGGAGGTTCCACCCCATAGGCGACACGCAAGCGCTAAGGAGGACTCTGCGTGGCATAAGTAAAGTGGAGTTCCTGAGTCTTCCAGATTGATGTGGAGATTATGGAGTACTGCAGAGTGAGTGGGAAGATTTTAGATTATTGCAGAGGTTGTAGATAGTTGTAGAGTGTATAAAAGATTCCAGAAGTGTAGGGAGTTTTGTAGTGTTGTAGATATTTGTGTAGAAAATCCAGAAGGTAGATAGCATGCTTATATAAGGAGAAAATATGTCATTCATAAACAACAAGCTACAAGAGTGAGAATGAGCGACCATGAGTGCAGTAAGTAGTAACCCACCAGTTGTGTAATCTCTTTGAGTAATAATATAAGTATTCTCTCTTGCCAACTAAGTACCTAAATGTGTGTGAGCGTGCAAGCCGAGTGGACGGCTTGAGTGGGAGGGTATTGGCACGAGTGAGTGCGGCAGTTAGGCTGAGAGGGTGTTGGCACGGGTGAGTGCAGGAACTAGGTTAACCAAGGCCTTATCGCGAGGAGTTAAAACGCCTCGGTGCTACATTATGTGGCTGGAGTAGTGGAGAAACTCTAGACCCGTGACAATGTGCTCACAAAACTATTGTGTTCGTCTATTTTATAGATTTGATTAAAAAACGAGCTATATATGTTTAGGCTGCATCTGATATAATGTGAACTGCCTTGTGTTCCAACAACATTGACAACACAATGGAAGCAGTTAGCTTCAGCAATATAAGTTATTTGTCACGGAAATTTGAACCTTCTACTTGAGAACTTGATTTTAACTGAAATTGGAGGGCCAAAGCTTCCTTGAATTTTCATAAAGTTATTGGAAACCCTAAAAAATTGCAAGAACATAGACCGGAGAAATAAAACCTTTTTTGGGACATGTTATTTTAGTTGATGTTACGCAAATGCAACAAACCAAGAACAAAACAAGAAACACTATAGAAAAGTTAAACACCACACATGAATAATACAAAGATTTATGTGGTTCAGCAAAGCCTACACCCACAGTGAAGATCCAGCGAAAGATTTCACTTTGTGAGAAACAAGAGATTACAAGTTTCAGCCCCTAAACCCTAATGTGCTCTCTCTCACTCGCTTTCCAGCAATTGTTAGTGTTCTCTCATTACCCACTCCAAACCGTAAACGCCCTTTATATAATGGGCTACAAGAGAGTCCTAAACAGGGTCTCGGACCCGCAAGCAAAAAAGGGTCATAAAACTGTTCAACGCGATCCGGGCCGAAACAAAATTCAGACCACAACATCACAATTGACATATAGGTACATAAGAAAAATGAGAAGGCTGAAAAAAAATAAATAAATAAAAAACTAACCTCTTAAGTAAGGATTTTAATCTCACGAATTCATAATCAAGTATAAGTGGAACAGAAATGAATATTTCTAGTAACCAAAAGGCCATTGAAATTAGTTGTTGGCTATTAGAAATTTTATTATCATAATTAGAAGGAAAAAAGAAACAAGATTTAAAACGATGCAATTAGACATACCCCAAAGAGCAGCACTTTTCACTAGAGGCGGCACAGGTATATCCTCTTCCGATTTTTTTATGTTCCTGGCCATATAGCAAGAAAAAAACTTAAACAGTGAGTTATTATCTCCCTCAACAGACAGCAAATAACTGTAGATAGTTGCAGATTAAAAGAATTAGGTTTAAACACCAGCATGTCTCAACATCAAAAAAATTATATAATATAATATAAAAGAAATAAAGGGAAGGAGGCGGAAAAGAAGAAGAAGAAGAAGAAGAAGGACAACAACAATAACAACAACAACAAAGAATGAAAAAAAAAGATAAAAAGAGTTTTGTATGCTAAATAAAGTTGTGCACAACCACCAAGTCATTGGCCCAAGTGGGTTTGAGCTATTCTCTCCAAAATGAAAGTGAGCAATTTGACTCCCACATGGTGTGGTGTGTGCACATGTGTGCGTGTGTTGCTTAACTACAAATAAATAAATAAAATGTGCATTCACAATAAATTAAAGGTCAGCATTGCATTTGCTAATATGAATTAAAAAGATAGAAGTTAAGCTTTAGCCATCAAGGTAGCAACTTGAAAGGTGCTTGAAACAATATGTCCACTTGTTGCAACATTCCATTAGAAATTTTTTTCTTCAAAAATATTGGACATAATCATTGGCCAAAGTTTTTTTTTGTCAAATTAACATCATGCTCGTCTATGGATTCCAATAAAACCAACTTTGTCGTAGGCTTCCCAAATAGAGTTAAAATTTGGCATGATCAGAGGTTCCAAAGTCAAAATCCTACAATATAGGGGAAAAGAAGAAAGTGGTTGAAGAGCTAGCCCAGTGTACGAGGCTTTCATCATTGCAGGGTCTGGAGAGGGTCAGATGTACACAGCCTTACCTCCGCATGGACAAGTTGTTTCTAGTTTTGAAACCATGACCTCCAGGTCACAATGAAGCAACCTTACAGTTGCACCAAGGCCCACCCTCTGGAGTCTGGATTGCATAGATTTACCATGTCTTATCCAACCAATCTACGTTACAACAGAATCATCCAGTCACCTCAATCAAATTATACAAGACAATGAGTTTAAAAGATAGTGAAGTAGCCTGAAACAGTCCAACTGTCCAAGGACTAATATTTAAGCTATTAGTTTGCAAAAAACTTCTGTTCATGTATTGGTTTGTTGGCACCATATTGAAGAAAATGAAAGCTTGAGAACTCATACCAATTCATATATTCTCCAGGTTTTTCAGTAGATGTTATTTAACTTGTGTGTTCAAAATGACAAAGCACTTTGCAGGTTGAAAAATAAACTAGATATAAGAATAATATATTAATTAATTAAAGAGTTATAATAGAAAGTTCATAAGCCAAATAAACTTGCAGGTAATGCATACATCCGAAAGTCTAATTTCAATTAAAGGGATACAACCCTGCCAGCTTAGTCTCAAAAGAAAAAGAGAGAGCACATCCTGTACATCAAAAAGTATAAAATTGATATATGTAGACAAAAGTGTACCGTTTGGCAGTCATGATCAAATTTGCAATGCCTTGGCCAATAAGACCACAGCCAAATCCAACTGATCCATACAAAACACCCTGGAGCCAGAATGAGTGAATCAACCATAATTATCAGAGCAAACAAAAAACAGATAAAACTACTATACCAAGTTTTAGGCATACGGTAAAAAGGAAGTATGGCACAAGACTGCTACAAAACATACTTTAGAGAATATCTCAAATCTCAAAATGAAACAAATGACGAAGCAAGAAACTTTGAATTTTGAAGAAGGTGACAAGAAGGCAACTTCTCTCTTTAGAGATTTGTAGCCCAAAAGGCCACAAAATAGTACATCCTCCCTTAGTAACCCAGTAACATGTGGTACCTTGTAGAAGTATGTAGCAATCCTCTGCTTCACTGAGAATCTACATCCTGGCCTTTCAGCTTCAAAAACACTGCACAGAAACATCATAGATTATGATCAACTAATAGTGCAGGCAATAAAAAGCTTGAGTGTCAAGTATTATAGCCCATCAAAGGACATATCCATAAAAGGTAAACAAGAGAACTATTTTTATTTTTATTTAATTTTTTTTATAGGTAAATATTCATTAAAGAACACTCAAAAGGGAAGTGCAGAGAAACTAACTATTTAAGTCTTCATAGTGTACTCCTGGGTCCCAAAATAAGTACCACCAGCATGGAGAACTTAATTACAGGACATTAACTATTTAGATTATCATAAAAATTCCGTTTTAACGCCTTTGCAAAAATCATCATCAGGGAAAAAATTTGTTGACAGAATAACTTTGACACTTGGTTTTTGTTCTGATTGGTTGGGGGCATTGGGGCATGCAATTTAAATGTGATTATTCCCATTTTTTTAATTCATTTATTCATTTTCCTTCTATGAGTGTTGCTCAAGAATTCTTTTATAAAAAAAATAAAAATAAAAAAGAATTAGAAGGAACATGTCCAGATCCTTTCAATTCTTTTGTAGATCTTCTGAGTCATTATTCCCATCCCAGGTCTCCAAGCTCAACGATTTTAATTAAATTTTCTCTTAAATTTCATAATCCCCATTGTTGTTCATCATTGCGATGGAGGGACTTAGTAGATTGATGGGGAGGGCTGTGGAGATGGGTTTCATCAGGGGTTTTAGGGTGGGAAGGGATGTTATGCATCAGCTGGAGATTTCTCACTTGCTGTTTGCTGATGATACTCGTCTTTTGCAAGGCTGAGGTGTCTCGGATGAGAGATATTTGAGGTCGGTGTTGAATTGTTTTCAGGCAGTCTCGGGATTGAAAGCGAATGTGGGGAAGAGCGCTTTGATTCCAGTGGGTGAGGTTCCGGAGATTGAGGAATTAACTTCTGTTCTTGGGTGAGGAGTTAGTTCTTTTCCGATCTCTTACTTGGGTTTGTCTTTGGGGGTTTCTTCGAGGATTGTAGGTGCTTGGGATCAAGTGGTGGAGAGGTTGGAGAGGAGGCTTGCAGGGTGGAAGAAGCAATATTTATCCAAAGGGGGGAGGGTTAAATTGTTGAAAAGCACTTTATCGAGCATTCCCACGTATTATTTATCCCTTTTCCAGATTCCGTCCTCGATTGCTGCTGGAATTGAAAGACTCCAGCGGAACTTCTTATGGGGAGGGTTGGGATTAGGAGATTGTTGCCTTTTAACAGGGCCTTGTTAGGTAAGTGGTTGTGGAGGTTTGGTATGGAGTGGGATAGATTGTGGAGGAGGGTGATATTTTGTCGTTTTGGAGAAGAGAAGGAAGGGGTGTTCAGAGGGGGTGTCTATGCCTGGAGGGGTAAGTGTTTTGAAAGACATTCGGAAGGGATGGAATGAGTTTTCTAAGCATATCAGATTCAGAGTTCATGATGGAAGGGAGATTCGGTTTTGGGAGGATGTGTGGTGTGGAGATCGCACGTTAGCATGTTCTTTCCCTAGACTGTTTAGGATTGCGGTGGATAGGCATGCCTTGGTGGCTAACTGCTATCGTCTTGATAGCAGGAGACCGGTTTGGGATGTGCTGTTTCAGCAATCTTTTCAGGATTGGGAGATGGATGATGTGTTTGGTTTTTTAGAGTTGTTGTATAGCCAAGTGATCCAAGGAGAAGGTAGGGATTCTCTTGTTTGGATTTCATCTGCTAGGGGAATGTTTAGTGTGAGATCTTTTTTCGGATGCCTGGTGGATTTGGATGGGGCGGTATTCCCGTGGAAGGCTATGTGGCGTAGTACTAAGGCGCCATTGAAAGTGGCCTTTTTTTGCTTAGACGGTTGTGTGGGGTAAAATTTTGACATTGGATAATTTGAGGAGGAGAAAGCTTATCACGGTGAACTGGTGTTGCACGTGTAAGTGCAGTGGCGAGTCGGTTGATCATCTTCTCTTGCATTGTCCAGTGGCGGTTGATTGTTGGAACCTTTTGCTAGGTTTGTTTAGAGTTTGTTGGGTCAGTCATGCCTAGATCTACGCGAGGATGGCGCCTTTATGTCTCTAGTGGTGTTTGTGGAGGGAGCGAAATAGAAGATCCTTTGAAGGAGAGGAATCTTCCATCACTGTTCTAAAATCTTTTGTTATTAGCTCTCTTTGTTTTTGAGGTTCGGGTAGACTCTGTTCTTCTGCTGAGGAGACTATTGAGCTTTTGGCTTCCTTGGGGCCTTAGGTTCCCAGGTTTCTTTGATTTGTTAGAGATGCGTTCCCTCTTGAACGCTTTTCTTTTAATGAATTATTTATTTATCAAAAAAATATATATATTTCATTAGTTTTTAATTTCTAATTTGAAGAAGAGTGCTACACCCACACAAAGTAATTGGAGATGTGGTACAGCTTTTCTTCGATAAACAAGTGGAGGAAAGATTAATTTTCAACTTCGTGTTGCATAAGATATGTTGGCACAAGAAAGAGCCAACTTGTTTGCGAACTGATAGGATATCCAGCTCATGCTGAGTCACGCAAGACAAGTAACCAGAAAGAAAGAAAAGGATGAGAAAATAGAAGAATAGATAGGCTAGAAGAAGGGGATGAGAAAATAGACGAAAGGGGGTGAGAATAGAGTGATAGATAGGCAGGGTAGACTGAATGGGTGAGAAAAGCAAGAACAAAAATGAGAGAAACAATAGAACACAGAGAGAGACTCAAAGAAAACGATAATCAATATTCTCCAAAACTGAGTTCTCAAACCCTAAAACATAAAAATACTAAAGTAACCCTAAAATTCAAACATTATCAAAATAACAATAAGCATAAATAAAACCTTAAATCACTAAAATCCCCAATTTTATTTCTCTTTCCCTCTTCTCCAAAAGTAATGTTGAAGCATGTGCAACTCATGTATTCGAACCATATCCCGTTCCCCATCAATTCTCCTTGGCTGAAAAGAACTCTTCTCCGAAGAGTAAAGCAGCTCAAAATAACTCGAATCAAAGTGGAAAGACTCGTCTAAAGTTGTAAAAGCACAAGCTAACACAAGAGGCTCAAAGATACCTCAGTTAGGCATCAAATACTCCACATTAAAAATTGAACGAATACTATTATCTGTTCACAAGTCAAATAAATATGCATTGGTCCAAACTTATTAGCGTTGTGGAAATGTTGAATGCCTTGGGCTTCAAGTGAATTGAAGGAGCTACGAGGATAAGGTGGTTGTGGTGAACAAATTATAAGATAATCACCTTCCAAAAATTTATGATTCCTATGACGAGCATATGCAATAAATTTATAATTTTTATTACTCAAAACAATTTGTGATCTTATATCAACATGAAGCTCATGGACATACTCAACAAAGGAATCAAAGATTTTAAATGAACAAGGATATGGAGGCAGCAAAATAAAGTCAATGGGCTGGCGAAGGAAAATCCCATATATAATCCCAAAAGAGCAATTGCCAGCGCACCAATTAGCCAAGCTATTATATGCAAACTCCATAACAGAAAACAAAAAGTCCGAAGTGTTTAAGGGCACCCTTACAAGATAATTAACCAACTTTCCTAGACCATGATTAACAACCTCAATTTTTATGTCAATTTGAGGACAAAATGCAAAGGAAAATTTCAAACTAGTGCCCCCAAAGATGCCCAAAGTATTTTCCAAATTTGGCTTTTGTATTTAACATCCCTATATGAAACAATGGAAGTGTGTGTGTCATGAATGCTAACATCCTCTACATGATTATCTAAAATGGGATGATGTGGGTCATTAGATTTTGGGGGTTGACATTTAAACATATTTTCAGATGGAACCTGAAAAATTCCTTTTGCCATTTTTCTTATTAACATGAGTTCATCAACACGAGGCTGAGAAGAGGGCCTATATTGTGCCTTGGAGCAATCTCTCTCATATAAAGCAAAAAACTCCAACTCACATGATCGTAGGCTTTTTCCACATCAAGCTTACACAGAACCCCCGGAATTCCGCTTCTCAGCCTAGCATCCATGCACTCACTAGCAATAAGCACTGAATCGAGAATCTCGCGTCCTCCAATGAAAGCATTATGTGACTCCGAAATAACATCATCCAAATCCTTCCTCAATCTCAAAGCAAGAACTTTAGCTATCAGTTTATAAATGCATCCCAACAAACTAATAGGTCAAAAATCCTTCACATCCGATGCACCCCTTTTCTTCGGAATAAGAGCAATAAAAGAAGCATTCAAAGATTTCTCAAATCTCCCAAACTTATGAAAATCAAGAAAGTACTCATAACATCCCCCTTGACCACCTCCGAACTCTCTAATAGAAAACGCATAGTAAAACCATTCGAACCTGGAGCTTTATCCCCATTACAACTCCTTAACGCCTTCAAAACTTCTTCCTCCGAAAACAGAATCTCGAACCCCTCTCAAGCAATGTTAGAAATGGAATCGAAATGAAGGCCATCCAAACGAGGCCTCCAAGCACCTATCTCCGAAAGCAGACCTTGAAAGAAACTAGTGATCCCTCTACGAACATCCTCTTCCTTAACAAGAAGCTCCCCATTGACAGAAATCCTCCCAATATGATTTCCCCTCCTATTAGCATTGGCAAGACGATGAAAAAACTTAGTATTCCCGTCTCCTCTTTAAGCCAAATAGCCCTAGATTTCTGTCTTAGGAAACCTCCTCCGAATAGGCAATTTCAGCAAGCTCAGCTTAGCAAAAAGCTCTCCTTCCTCTCTAACCTATCAATACCAGTTACCCCTTCCCGACGATCAATCTCTGCAATTTTTGCTAAAGCTCTACCCTTCCTCCACTCCAAATTCCCATACACTTCCTTATTCCACCTTTTAATCTCTAGCTTCAACGCCTTAAGCTTTTCGGCTAGAAAAAAACTCGAATTCCCAATCACCATACATCCCTCCCACCAAGATCTCACACATTCCTAAAAATTCTCCGCCCTAAGCCACATATTTTCAAAACGAAACGGAGTGCTTCTCGATCTCAACCCACCACAATCTAAAATCAAAGGAATATGATC